CAGTGGCATACTATTTTTTTCTGTAAAAATATTCAATACAAACCCCGTAAGTATGGACGCCAATGGTAGAAAACATAAATTTGTACATCAAAAAATGCATCTTAATGCATAGTATACGTGTACCAAATTTCGTAAAGCTATCTACAATAGTCTCACAGTTATTGGAAAAAATAGATTTTTTTTTCTGAAAACTTTACCACCCTGTAGCACAAAAGTTAAGATGTTTAGGACACGTGTTTATATGAACTTTTTGCCTTAAAATTAGTCAAAGATTCACTATTTAAAGTTTGTACAAGTACTTAATAAACACCCTGTATATGGAAAACAAAAGGGGACCAAGGACAGAGCCTTGGGGTACTCCTGATGTTACACACAAAGTTAGATGATTTCTTTAACGTTATTTTTTGGTAGTGGTTACTTAAATAAAATTTGAAAAATTTTAGTGAGGGTTCATCGAAACCAAAATATTTGAGTTTGGCACAAGGAAGCTGATGATCTAGAGTGTCAAACTCTTTAGAAAAGTTAGTTTTATTAAGTTATTTAGAAGTATATTTTCTTGGTCGTCGATTCAAAATGCAAATAATAAATAATTTAGATCTTTTACGGAAATATTTTTTTTTTGTTCTCAAGAGAGAATTACCAATCAGTTTCATTTTCATCTGTTAGCCCTACTAGGTATTTAATTTAAAATAATTAGTAATACTGCATTTTAAATTAAAAAAATGTCTATATTCGAAACATTTTAAGTGGCATTTTCGTGACCGTATCGTACGCAATTCATTAAAATTCATTAGATATCGATGGTGAAAAAATTATTGAACGCATTACCATGCTCAAGGTGTACCAACTTGTAAACTTCGAATTTTTTTCTATCAATAATTCATTTACAGCGACAAATTAACATGGTCAATGCTTTTAAGTGACATTAATAATTTACGGTGGCATCTAAAAACACGTGTTAATATTTTAAACGAAAATAAAAAAAAAATTGTAATACGACCATGTAAGTGTTTAATGTCATTCCTCGGTTTGACTTATGACCACCATTTATAAAATAAAAAATATATATAATAAATAAAATATAAACAAATCGGTTTTGCGACCATGTAGTGCACTCTGGAAAATGAAGATTAATTACGCTATATTTTATGAAATGCGGGAATTATATCTTATTTACTCTTATACCAGTTTCCTTTTTATAAGAAAAAAATAATGCCAAAGTGCTTTTAATCAAAACATACAAAAAAAAAAATAAATTATTCTACCCTGTACATTTTAACATTCAATCACTTTTAGAGATGGGTAAACTCAAAAACTTTGAAAATAAAATTCTTTGCATTTAAATTTTCTCTATTATATTTTTATCAAGGATAAATTTTTCCTTCTCTATCAAATTATCTTTAAATCTATACAGGGTGTCCTGAAATTAGAAGGTCATATTTTAACAGCGTAATCTACATCTTAAAATAGTAGTAAAAGTTCATATAAACATAGGTCCGAAAACGTTTCGTTTTAGAGATACAGGGTGTTACAAATGAAGTCCTGATGGCACATTTTTGTAAATATTTTCTAAAATTTCTTTAGCCAAAGTCAAAAAAATAAAATTTCAGATTCCACCCCTAATTTACCCATCTATGAAGATAAACAAAAACTGGGGTTTAGTCCATTACATAGAGCGTAAAAAGTAAGCATTTGTACCAAATTTCATTTACTTATCTTTAAACCTTAGGATTTTTTTAATATTTCAACCTCCCTTAACCCCACATTTTTATTCAGAACTTGATTTTCCTGAAATTTTCAAATTGATACCGTTTTTCGTTTTTGACTCATCGTGCGGACCAAAAACGTGACATTGGACGGACAGAACCAAATGCATCATACTCTTTTTAGACTACTGTATGAAGAATATAAGTATAAGTATAAGTATAAGTATAAGTATAAGTATAAGTATAAGTATAAGTATAAGTATAAGTATAAGTATAAGTATAAGTATAAGTATAAGTATAAGTATAAGTATAAGTATAAGTATAAGTATAAGTATAAGTATAAGTATAAGTATAAGTATAAGTATAAGTATAAGTATAAGTATAAGTATAAGTATAAGTATAAGTATAAGTATAAGTATAAGTATAAGTATAAGTATAAGTATAAGTATAAGTATAAGTATAAGTATAAGTATAAGTATAAGTATAAGTATAAGTATAAGTATAAGTATAAGTATAAGTATAAGTATAAGTATAAGTATAAGTATAAGTATAAGTATAAGTATAAGTATAATTATAAGTATAATTATAATTATAAGTATAAGTATAATTATAATATAAGTATAATTATAAGTATAAGTATATAAGTATAAGTATCAGTATAAGTAAATGTATAAATGTAAGTATGTCACATAAAAGGTATATATATAAGTCCGTAACTTTTTTACAATTCATATTACGTACTACACTTTACCAGCGACCACTTACACATATAAATAAGCGTTAAAATACGTGCGTTTTATTTACCGTGCTCTTTTATTACCGTGCAATTTATTTACGTTGCATAATAAGCTATTTACTGCGCCCGTGGGTCGTATGTTTTTTCTGCTTCCATAGTGGTCGTAGGTTAAATTATTCAAATTTTTATCTATTCACCCTGTAATATTTATTGGGATGTCAAACTTTTTTAAGACTTGTTAATAATTTTTGAATTGAAATTTTAAAATTAAAAATGGCCGAGTTTACCATTTTAAAAGGTTAGTTTTACAGTCGTTATATAAAATTCATTGAATAATCTAATACTATAATTTTTCTACAACTGTTTTTTATCCAATTTAAATAATTTAATTACTAAAATATCTTTTTTGTCACCGTTTTTTATTTATAATTATTGTTAACTACAGAACTTACTTTGACTATTTTTATTTCAAATTGGTTAATTAAATATTGTGATTCAAAATTACATTTAAAAAGTGGTAACGTTATACTTGCCTGTTGATGACAACTATGAAAACGCCAATCTTATTGTATAGGGTGGATAGATAAAAACGTACCAGAATCATTATTAGAAAGTGCGTCAACATTTTAAACAAACGCTCAGATTCGTCAATTTTTATTTAAATGGGGAGATCTTTCTATCATATTCTCCAACTGTCACGTGTCAATCCTATTGCATTGGTCACTTTAACTAATACAATTTAAGTAGGGAAAGTACCAATCATTGAAAAGGCAATTTTATCGGGAATTTAGCAATGGCATTACTTTTGATTTCAGTCCCCTTTTGCGGGATAAAAAACTATGTCATTTGAAAGCTTATTTTATTAATAATTTAGTGCAGATCATAACAAAACATTATTGAATGAAACATGCACAAATAATTGAAAAACCAAAATAACAAATTATTACCACGCATTAAGTCATCTCTTTCAAAAGAGGTATGACATTTTACAGTACGTAACAGTTTTATTTATTTGTTACACTGCCCAACAGAAATCACCATTTACTGGGTGGAAAAGAAAAAAAAAATTAGAATAATACAAATACAAAAATATTAAAAAGCTATAGAATGTAATGTAAACATCCAGGAAAAAACTGATCGAACACAGGATAAAAAAATTGTTGTCTACATTGCATTGCATGCTTTACCTAATTTTTTTACATTGTAAAGAAAAAACATATTTGTTACATGCAAACATTTTCAAGCTGTCTTGAATTCCATAATATTTCTGAATAAATTGGTACATTGTAGATGAGTTCAAAACATTAGTTCTAGAAGCTGGCATGCTAAAACTCAAGTGAACTCTTAAACCAGCACGGTGAATTTTTAGATTAACGTAATTTAACACTGAGTGTGAACAAACTTGAAAAAAAAACTTTTTGATAAACGAAAGCAACTAGTGAAAACCCCATCTCTTTAGAGCAATTAATAAGCTGTGCATTTACATTTAAAATCGATCACTCTTATTTAGGACACCCTGTATTATAAAGTATGAGAACCTATTGGAAAATTCTGCGTATCACAAGCTCAGAAAGATTGAATCTAAATAATATTAAATCGTGGGGATATCCTCTTGTAGAATATATATTACATGTAAAATGTAGGAAGCAGATTTCATGAATTTTCTTTAAACTTTTTGAAGTAAGTCAGTATAAATGTTATGCACGGGATTCCAAACAACAGAACAGTATTCAAGTTTTGACCTGACAAAGCTAATATATAGAATTTTTAAGGTGAATATGTCTCGGAATTCTTTAAAGCTTCATATAACAAGCCCTAAGTTCCTGTTAGCAGCAGAAAACATTGTTTCAATGTGTTTAACGAAAGTTAGTTCAGGATCAAAATAAAATACGAGATCTCTTATAAATTCTAGTCGATTTAGAACAAAGTTCTGTAGTTTATAATCAAGCCCGCTAGAGTGCGCTGAAATAATAGTCATATTAATGAATTCTATATACAATTATCTTATTAAAGATGTATCATACTTGGTACTTTCCCTGTTTAAATTGTAATAGTTGTAATAAAGAAGGGGAGGAGAATGACGTAAGACAATTGTCTCCATTTAATTAAAAATTGAAGGGTCTGAGCGTTTGTGTAAAATGTTGGTGCAGTTTGGCCGTCCTGTATATAATATGGACGATATTTTACACCTACACCAGATTTCAAAAAACGTTAGAACCTTTATAGAAGCAGAAAAATATGGAAAGAAGAATAGAGATTGAAGAAAAATTAGATAAAGGGTAGAAAATAATTATGGAGTAAAGAAAGAAGCAAAATAATAGGAATAATTCATTAAACGAAGCAACTGAATCAACCATATCCAAAAAGAAAAGGTTCAGGGCATTAGATAAAACCTAAATGACTTAAAAAATAACTAATAATATGTATAATATTCATACATTATTTCGTGATTAGATAAAAACTAGAAGGTTATAATTTTTAACAGTCTCAAATTTCTTCTGCAAATGATCATACACTATGAAAAATAAAATAACATTATTTATTAAATAGGTACATACCTTTGTTTTGGGTCCTTTCCACCAATAGCACTACTAGCACACAATCTGTAATCAGTGAACTTAAAACTTTTAAATTGATATAAACAAATATGGCTGAACAGCCCGTTTCACTGACCGCTCTTTAGTCGATACACAGCTGAGAGTAAATTTCGTTCTTATCGCCAGAGATAAAACTGTAAATAGTTAATATAAATACACAAAACACCGATTGTTTTTGTCCCTACAATTTAAAATAATCTACGAATTAATGTATTTAGAAATTATAATAAAAGTTATACTTAATGTCCAAAATTTGTTATTAAGGGCTTCTTCAAACTATGCAAAATGGCTTTCCGTGAAATGTCATAAATATTAAACATGAATGGCTAGTTTCTAAGGTTCCTACAGGGTGTTAAAGTAAAAAACTAATGGATTTACATTGTTGGTTTTTTTGTATCGATAATTATTTTAATGCAATGAAAAATTACATAAAAGTTGTTCAAAATCTTCCCACATAGTACTGTGCTCAAATATGTAACACAAGTTTGATAAATTGTGATTTGAAATAAAAGTAGAGACAGAAATAAAATTTTACAGTACTAATTTCATTTATTTATCTTTATACTTTCTGTATATTCTTGAAAGTTGGAACTGGGCTGGGGGTTAATTAAAAACCAAAACTCATATAGACCAAGAGCCCAGTGCCCCCAGACATAACTTATTTTCTAAAGGACAAAATGTGGGGCATCAAGTAGTGTTTATATATGTATTGAATGCCTCCATACCTGCTAAGTTGGTTAGTGGCCCAATTCACAGGTACCAGGTGAGAAAGGTAACTATAAATAAGGTTAACTTTACTTATTTTCTAAAGGCTGATTTTTATATATATTCCATAAAATATTATTAGAAAATAATACTGAACATTGCCAGACACTTTCTGTGGGCCATAACTTCCGCTAGACGCTTTAAAGCTCCCAATTTTTTTTGTAACTTTACTTATATTCTACTGTCTGGTTTTTATATATGTTATTTAAAGAACTATTTTAAACATATATTTATTCAGCCAGACTAATTGTAAGGGCCAAACACCCCCCAGACACCAAAAATATTCAGCAGTGAGTACTATGCGACTGTACTATGCTCGTGCTTTGGAGAGAGGAGAGAGTATATAGGGTGTACAGTTCATCAAATTTCTAGAGGCTTTCGACGGCTAGACAGAGAAAGCACTACTGACAGGCATCCCGACGGATTTACGCAATGAAAGTACACTCTGCGCATCAAGTATTTCACTATTTCATTCAGACGTAAATGTCAGATGTAAATTTCGCTAAAACATTTCTTTTATTTTCGTTTGTGTTTTTTGCTCATTACAGTTTAATAGAACCTAAGTATGGAGTTTAATAGCAAATTAAGAGGCCGCGTGATTAACAGTCAATCTCGCGAAATAATAGCCAATGTTATAGAGTTTATGAGAAGAGAAGGAAACTTTAATTCACCTTCAATACCATTTAAAAATGTAAATGATCGTGTTGCTGCAGCCACAGGAGTATCTAAAAACACTGTCGTCCGCATTTCTGGAGAGAAAAAAAGAATCGATAACCGTGAGATATCGGAATTTTCATCACCAAGAAAAACCATTAAAAAACCAAAAACAGTTAATGATATAGATGAAGCTGCACAAGAATCAAATTTAATTTTTTTATTATTAGATAGCTATTTTTGTTTCTGAGTTGTGTTCATTTACAGGCTCAATTTTTTTCCGTTTCTTCTTTTTGATTTTATATGGGGTTTCAAGTTGTTTTTGACTTATTTCGACGTAAATCACAACAACACACTTTTTTGATAAAGCAAACAAGTGTTAAGAGGTATATGTACGTGTAAACTACAATTACAAAAAATTGATATGAAACCCATAAAACCACCAACAAAAATGTAAAGCTCTAGCTTCCGTACTAGAACATGGTGTCATTCGTCGAGATAATTTATCGTTTTGTTTAATAGATCAAGAAATGTAAATATTCCCCTGTTATTTTTTATAAAATTATAAGAGAAATACATTTTTTTCTAAATAGTATAGTTTATTATTTTGTAGAAAAACAAAATTTCGAAAATTTTAGTAATGTTTTAGAAACAACCGTTATTAATAATAGGTGCCATTTTCCTTAATAAGGTAGAAATAAAATATAAACTATTTCCACGATTTACAAAGGCCTACAAAAAAATTATAGGTATTTTCCGCTATCCTATAAAATTTATATTTTCTGACTCAATTTCAAAAGGTTGAAGGAATTCCAAAACATCTTTTATGGCATAATAATTATTTTCAATTCTACATACTATCTTTAGCTGCTTTTAAAAACGTTCTAAGAAAGTCCAATCAGACCAATTTAATCCCTAAACTATTCCACACTTTTAAAATTTAGTTACCTAAAAATATTAAAAACTATTTAAAATAACTTGTTTAGCAGACTGTACAATAGCTATCTTAGTCACACGTAGCGCGTTCTCTGTCTGGGCGTCGAACACCTCTAGAAATTTGATGAACTGTACTTTTCAAAAGTAGCTTCCTCGTAGACTAGGCCACGAGTCTGATGTAAACCATTTAAAATCAACATGGACTTTCAAAAACAGTTTAATTTTCTGAATTATGTTGTCAATATGACCCAAAAGTGGTAAAACAATTTCATGAATTTTTGAAAGAAATTTAATAACATTTCTTTGTACATAAATCAAACGTCTTTTTTCATCATTTTCTTTAAAATAAGTAAAAGTATCGATGGTCTTCTAACATGTCTGTAAATTAACTTTACACTCTTTGCAGTCAAAACAATTAAGTTTCTTAATAAACCCTGCAACATAACTAGTGGCCTGACTCAAATTCTGCTTCATTTAATAATTTTGTATATATTATTAAAATGAACTTTATCTTCACAGGTACTCTCTTTGGAGGTGTGATAACAATATTACTAAGTACTACTATCTTTGGTGTATCTGGTTTTGAGGGTGCTAAAGCAAGGCAGAGTAATCTTTTAGCGGCCTTGAACGATTTTTGTTTGTAAATGATTTTATATCAAAATATGATTTTCACATAACGTATAATGATTGGTTGTAAGTGGCATGAGTGGAATGTTTAAAATACGACACCATTCCTTTCTTTGATCAATATCAGAAGGAAATTTAAAAATGTTTGTTCTTAGAATTTACGTTTGAAATGGGCTTTATAAAATGTACTATAACAATTAGAAATTATGCGTTTATAATGAATTCTGCCTGGTAAAGACACGTTAAAGCATCAAAATACCGTAACTTGATTTTAAATAATCCTAAATAACTTATATCTAAAATATATATAAATAAAAGTAGTTTCACTCACATGTTTTCGTCGACGACCAAAACCATAACATAACCACACATTTGTTTGATTTCGATGTTATTTGTTGATAGCGCGCGCGGGGCCCGCTGTAGCGGGCAGTCAGCGGTCATGCAGCGGACAGAAAGCCATCTTCACATAGTACAAATAACTGTAAAGGCATGTTTTTTTTTTTAATTTGTTGTAATCATAGTTGTAATATATGAATTAAAATTTTTGAAACAACACTTTTTGTGTGTTACTGAACGAGATGTTATTAAATTATTTAATGTGCTTTACATTTTAATAAAATTTTGCTATTGTAAAACGGACTTTAGAGCACCCAAGCGAGGAGTTGCATGCGCAGAAACGTGTTTACGTATTGTGCATATGATATAAACCCCCGTGGTGTTCGGCAGCTTCTACACCCAGCGTTGCACACGCACGTGCGAAATTTGTCGAAGCAATGATCTTCCGATTGTTTTAGCCAATAGATGGCCGCGACAGTACGCGGCATTACGCTGGTGCCATGCCGGCTCTATGAAAAAAAATTGTTTCTTGGGACAGCGTGTTGCAGACGTGGTTCCACAAATTAAATATGTCAAACTAACAAAAAAAAATTACATTTACAGAAAACAAACTAATTTACTTCACATGTGAATAAAACGGATACAAATAATAAATAAAGTTACCGGCTGAGTGACCGATTTTTTTGTGCAGCCGGTACTAACGTGTTAAGAATATTTATTAAACATGGTCATACAACTTTTATATTATTTTTTTCGTATTTCCAATAATAAAACAGCTATCGATCAATTAGGCACGGCTAACATGTTGGTATCGTTAGATAGGTTATAATTTATAAGAAATTTTATGCTAAAATAATATACAGGATGTTGTATCTGAAAAAACTTAGTAAATTGAACTTAAAATTAGACATGTTTCAAATCACTCTGTATAAAGTAAACCAGTTCTATCACCACTATTCGTTAGCTTGGTATCTTATAAGTCTGTATATTAAACATTTTAAAATCAATGTAAAGCTACCCAAATTATGATAATTTAATTTATGGTCTGCATCATTCTCTAATTTCAAAAAAAAAAATTGCTTGGCAACAATGTAATATTTTTTAAAATAATAGGGCTGAATACAGTATTATTAAATCATTCTAAAAATAAAATACCATTTAACGTATTAAATGTTTAAAATGTTCTTTCATAACTTCTTGGCAATAAAAAAAAGCTTAATTATCCCATGACTTTACTTTACATTAAAAAAATTAAAGATAGTAACACCCTCTATCTTACGTCTCAAATAAAGTGCATTTCATTATAAAAAAATGTAACTTTTCTAATTTCACCTCTTTTTCGTTTTATGTCAGGGTTCGGAGGATATATATCAAGTGATATATATCCGATATATTCGATATTTTTATTTATTAAATTAAAAATGTTTTCCACCATTCTCATTCTAAACATCCGAAAATGTCTCAATACGCTCCTGTTCCCAGCTTTGCTACGATTTGTTCTGCTTTTGCTGTTTAAGAATATGAATCAAAATATAGACAAAAAGAGAATGAACTTTGAGTGGTCATGGGAACCAGCCTTATCTGAAGATTCTGAAGTTATTGTCACTAATAGGAATCACATTATTGATATTTATAATTAATCAATGTTAAAATCTGTTGATTTTTAATATTTTTCTTTTTAATATTAAAGTTATAAATGTTATAATAAAAGGTTTTGTTTTTTAGAATTTAGAATATATGTTTTAATTATGTGTTTGTGTTAAAATATTAATGTTACTAA